GGTAGCTGAGTACATCTGGGTTTGTTTTAGTGTCTTCCAGTCTGTTCCACTGGTCCTCAGGCCTATTTCTTTGCCAGTACCATGCGATTTTTATCACAGTGGCTTTTTAGTATAGTTTCAAATTGGGAATTGTTATACCTGGTGCCATGTGTCTGTTGCCTAAAATGGCTTTTGCTATTCTAGGTCTCTTATGGTTCCAAATGAATTTTTGGATTCTTTTTTCTAGTTCTGTGAAATATAGTGTTGGGATTTCAATTGGCATTGCATTGAATATATATAGCAGTTTTGTTAGTATGGCCATTTTCACTTTGTTGATTCTTCCTACCCAGAAGCAGGGGATATCTTTCCATTTTTTTATATCCCCTTCAATTTCTTTTTTCAGAGTGCTGTAGTTTTCAGTGTAGAGATCTTTTGCTTCTTTTGTTAGATTGATTCCTAGATACTTCATTTTTTTGGATGCTATTGTAAAAGGGATTTTTTCCCTTACTTTTTTCTCTCCGTGAGTCTGTTATTTGGAAACACTGTATCTTCCTAAGACAGTCATATCTATAACTGTTATCTCAATAGATGAAACATTATTAATGGCAGAGTTGTCCAAAATCTTTTTTAAAAATATGTAAATCTTATTTATTGAGTCATTTCTTTGGTACCAGGAATCAAACCAGGGCCTTGCACATGGCAGGCAGACAGAGTAATGCAGAGCTGCATTCCTGGCCCTATATTTCATCATTGACTCATTCAACAAATATTCAACAAATATCAATTGCATTTTCATATGATTAGGGCCACACAATGGATTGTATTTGAACATAAACTAAAACTGATTGAAATATCTCGCTAACTCACAGGTAGTCAAATTACAGTTTTCCCGTGTGTGCGATGCTGAGAGTTGAGTCACAGGACCTCTGTAGTGAAGAAGGTCAGAGGGAAGTGGGACAGAAGGGCAGTGGCACCAAGAAGAACAAGAGCAACTGGCTCTTGAATCTGCCCAGACTCCATGTCAGGTGCTCCCACTCTCCCCACCTTAGACTTGGCTATCGTTCAAGAGCTGAGCCACTGCATCCTATCTGCATCCAGAATAACAGAAAATTCTGAGGAATCCATGGAAATTTCATGTGACCGAGTCTTCTACAACCTGATGGCATACTTAGGGTTGAAATGCTGCAGTTCTGAAAAACGGGCGATTACTTCTTTTGAATACTCTTCCTAACAAGCTAATCGGAATATCAGGGCAATTAAAAGAAATAAAATATCTACTGTTATTTGCAAATGGCATGATTATATTTGTCTATAAGCCTATGGAATCTATAAATAATTTTCCGTGAACAGCAATAAGTGAATTTAGTAAGGATGCCAGAACCAATGTTAATATAGAAATTGATTTCTGCTAGCAAAAAAAGGAGAAATACATTTTAAAAGTTAACTTTTTAGCAAAACATTTATTGGTACATTTTAGGTACACATAATGACAACATTCATCATAGGGAATTTGTACCTGTGCATGATATATCTTGATTCTTCTTTTTTTTCCATTCCTTCCCTGCTTTCAACACCTCTGTTCTTCCTTATTTACAAAGGTTTTTTTACATTTTTCCTTCTAGTCTGTTTTTTTCTTGTCTCATTTTTCCCTCTTCTTCCTCCTTTGTTCCCCTTCTCATTTGAATATTGTTGCCCATTTCCCAATATCTGTTATACATTTTAGTCCTTATTTCTACTTTCAGCTTCTCACAGTAGACAAACAGAGAAGCATTTAACCACATGTCTGATTTATTTCACCTTGGAGGATTAGCTTAAATTTATCACAACAAACATATGACTTTTACACACACAGAACATTATTAAGGGATATTTTAAAAACTCAAATGCATGAAATAATATGACATGTTTGTGGGTAGGAGGAGTCAATACTGTTAACATGTCAATTCTGTTCAAATTTGCCATAGATTCAGTGTAATACAAATTAAATTTCCTGCAGCTCTTGTTATAGATATTAAAACTCTAAGCATTAAATTTATATGAAAATGAAAGTAGCTTAGATACTTAAATAATCTCAGATATTAAGAAGAAAATTATAGGCAATATCATCTTTCATGCAAAGTAACCCTAGTAAGCATAGAGTAATATTGGAATATGAACAAATTCACATACAGAATTTAATAAAGAATTCAGAAATATTTAGACATTGATTGACCGGGCACTAAATAAATTCAAGGCCAAAAGAAAAAAGGCTTTTTAAGAAATGATCTTGTAACAACTAGATCATTCCAGGGACAAAATTAATTCAAAATGGGGCAATTGTTCAAGGTAGAAGAAAACACAGGGGAATGTCTTCATTGGAAGTGGGTAATGCCTTAGGAAAATAAACACAAAAATCATTGACACACAAAGAAAAAATTCACATACCAGGTTTTATCAAAGTTAAAATTCACAGATGATCAAAGAAAACATTAAAGTCACGTTCCCTGAGAAGAAATGTTCATGATGCATATCTCAATGGAGGCTTGTACCAAAGTGTTTAGAGACAGCTACAGATGAGCGGTAGAGGAAAGTTAATTCAGTCAATGAAAATATTCCTGTACTTTTACTGTGAAGCTGCACATCACTCTCTCATCCCGATTGTATTAATATTTGAATTTTGAAAATGTTTTACTTTTGTGGCTGAGTATAAAAACCATCCAGATTCCCTCCTGTGTGATACAAGCCATCATCAAACCTCCCTATCGGACATTTGTAGAGCAGCGTTCACGGCTCAATATACAGAAGGGTGCCTCTGAATCCTGGGAAGGTATACAATGGCTGTTTGGGGCTTTTCTTCTACTATAGGACCTGGCAGATTAAGTGAGTGAATCCTGTGCATACAAGATAATAGCAGAACATGATTCAAATTATTGTTTTATTGTAAGCTAATTCAATTTCTGATTGACCCATTCAGAGTTATGGTAAACCTGGATAAAAGGATTAAGAAAGGCCTCTATCTTGCATAAGCTGAAACTGCTTTCCAAATAGCTATGCGATAGAAAACATCAAAGCACTGATTAGCAGTGCAGTCAAAGGATCATAATTCTAACTGCTTATAAAGCAAAAATGTAAACAAAATAGTCACACATAAACACAGAAAACATTTAAGACTGAAGGTATTTTGTCCTCTTGTAATAGGGGCCGAATTGAGGTCTCAGAATTTACCAGTGTTTCCACTGATGGGAATAAAGTCAAACCTCTCTTTAGGTTTTCTACTACTAGGTCTTCTACTACTTTTCATGTTCTACTACTAGGTAGTAGAAAGAGATGAGAACCAAAAGTAAATCATTAACAGTGCAACTCACACAGAGGATTGTAATTTCTTTCTTCATCTGGCACAATTGTATAACATATATTTTTATAATGAAAATAGAATTTGCATATTGAGGATATACTTTAAAGTGAAATAAGTCACACATATGTAAATACTGAATAGCTTCTCTGGTGTGAAAAACTATAATTGTAAATAAGATCCTAATGGTATAATTGACAAAGTATAATAGGAAGAAAAGGGCTAAAGGTGTAGGGAAAATGGGAAGGGTAGGGGAAAATAAATAAGAGAAAAGAAAAGATATGAGAAAATGAAAAAATGGAAATAAAGTATTTGTAAATAGGAAGGGAGGAGGGGGTAAAGGCAGGGCAGTGACAAGGGGAAAAAATGAGAACCAAGACTTGACATGTAAAGACACAAGCTCCCAATGATGAATGTAACTGTACTCTATACCTAAAATGAAGTTCGTGTGTGCCATGCTAAGTTCGAAAAATTCCAAATAAGCAAAAGTTTTCTTGAAGAAACTTCTAGAAATTAATTTAAACTTCTTTATCAAGATAATTAAATAAAATAATTCACCATATTGTTTAAAATATAGCTACATCAACAATGCTTGAGACATAAATGTAAACAAGTATTGGCCAATTACAAATACATCTGCGGCATATCATTCCTATAAAAACCCCCTGTCAATCATTACAGATTTGATTTACATAACACGAATTGCAAGTCGAAACTGATTCCTACAAATCTGACGACTACAAAATTGTATCTTTCAATGTGACTGCCCCTGGGCCTCTATATAATATAATATATTCATTTATATATTTTAGCAAAAGGTTAAAGGAACTTTTAAGACATACCATATTCAGGTTCAAAGGTTACTGATGTTCTGAAAGCCGCATGTTCAAAAATAGCTCCTCTGTAGCCCAGAACTTTTCAGAATCTATTTTCCACACCTGCCATTCCTTTGCTTCCATGTTTTTGCCTCCTATGCTCTCATCCCCCCAAAAGGAGCACAGCCCCTGTCTAGGCAATGTTTACATCTTTGGTTTTCCTTTCTTTCTTTCACTGTTCTCTTCAGGAATAGAAAAATTCCAATCCAAAGTAAACTGAGACTGAAAACAAACTATGCAAGCTTTAAGATGAATGGCTAGTGGTGCCTTCTACAAAAATTGTCTAAAAAAAAAGACAAACCAACAGCTAATTCACTGGAGTTTGTGAAGCAGAGTACTGAAATCAGTGTCATGATGTGGTAGAGAATGGAGATACTTGATGGCCTTCCAAAGATGAGAACAAAGTATACAATGTTTACTGTACCATTTCTCCAGATCAATCCTAAACCAAGAGCAAGTTTGCTAGGTGAGGAAAGGACATGTAGAAGTCACCCAGAAGTCCCCACCCACTCCACAGACACTGGAGAATACTTCTGGAGAAACTTACAGCTGGCTTGCGCTGCTCAAAGAGCCCAGCCCATACTGTTCTCCATTCCAGAAAGGCTCCTGCTGCATGGTTGCCATCTTGAGATCTTAGCCACCATAGTTCTGGGAGACACCCAGCCTCCTGCATCAAGCATCTTTGCTGACCCAGCACTGTGACTCATCAGTTTGGTGCCACCCTCTTTCCCACAGCCTAGGGGCACTGCTGGGCAGCAACACCTCAAACAGCTGGATGAAAGACTGAGGAGCAGGTGAGCACCCTCTTCACTCACCTGCAGCCAGGAAGTAGTAAGACAGACTTCAATCCACAAGGTCACCCAGGAAGTCCTTGGCCACTGATGGGAATCAGGTCAGGGGCTACCCATGGAGCATAGCACTTGCCAACCTCGGAAACGTATCGATGTCTCATCCTGCTACCGGACGTGCTCTACTGCGCCTGAGTGTGGAAGCTAAGACTGTATGGAAAAAGAGTAGAATAGTGAGTGCGAGAGCCCAGGAAGGTTGTGGAGAGTTTGGATGGAGAGAAGACAGTAAAAAGGGTGCGCTGAGAGAGGCGGAATACGAGAGTGGGAAAACTGTGGTCGACTACAATTAACAGAGAGGGTCTCGTGCACGTTCCCAATATAGTGAAATGCTACATATCTGAGCTGACATACGTGTTACTTATACTGATGGAATCATTACATATTGTAAACGTATTGAACTGCCGCACTGTACTTCGTAAATATACAATTGCTACATTCCAATTTTTTAATATTGAAAAAAGAAGTAAAGAAATGGGGACAAAAGCCATGTGACAATTCCAGCAACGATTGCTATCGTATTAGTGGTAAAGATGTCTCTTGTAGGTACATTTGTAATCTCTCCTTTATAAATTGCCTCAATATTTCATTGCAAATATCATTGCAAATATCATTGCAAATATCATTGCAAATTCTGATAAGATCAATTAAAATAATGTTCAACTTCAGTCCAATTTGGAGAGCCTGGAGTTCAGCAGCATTTTATTTAATTGACTGCATGTTTTCTTTTTCTTAAAATCTTTACTAGACTACAAACTATTCATGTAGTTTTTCTGATATGAGAATTCTATAAATTTACAGTAAAAGGGAACATTTTCAGAGGTCAAGAACAAAGCTATGAACAGAGTACAGAGTGGTTATTCTGGATACATGAAGGAACAGCCGTCTGAATCCAGGCAATGGGAAAGTTTGTGGTAGGCAGGGATTGCTTCTCAATTGCTGTTTTTTAAATTTTTGATATTGAAATTGAATTCCCTTTCTTAGTACCAAGTCTGAAATGGAACAATTGTTGACTCATGTAAACATTCTCCATTGTTTGAACATTGTTAAGTTCATACAAGGGCATTTGAGTGAATATTGAAAGCATCTAAACCTACAGATTTCAATCACTTTTCCAAATAAGGCAGTTTTACATGACCTCTTGGAAAAATGGTTTTGCAAAGAAAACAGAAAGCCCCATGGGGGAATTTGCCTTAAACTTCATGGTATCTGTTTCAAGAAATATAAAATATTAAAAATTTTACAAGTGTATGCTTATTTTGTGTATGTATGTTTATACTTGTGCGGGTGTGTAGTAAATAGTAAGGCACTATATTTCTTTAAGAAGAAAATTTCCCAGTTTCTGTAAAAAAATGGACAGACTTTTGTGAATGTTATTTCCATGATGGTTAACTGGTTCTCCTTTCTGAATGTTGTGAGTATAGTATTTAAAACTGAGGCATTCCATATTTTTTGCAAGCTGTTTTATGTATTTTGTGCTTGATTTTCCTAGTATAAATACTATATGTATATATATATATA